CACACACACACACACACACACACACACACACAGCATTGGACCTTCGGTGCAGTTTCTTAATGGCCCTGCTGTCAGAGTGAGATTAATGGCCTCCCAGACACCACCATCAGCTTTCATTCTTGTCCACCTTTCTCACCGTGCTCTGTACGGTGCACAGCAGGGGAGCGAAACCTCCAAACGAACCCTCTGTTTCCCAGAGCCGGCCTCATTACGTCCCCGGACCAAAAACAAACATTGCTCATTGTTGTTTGTTCAGATTGTTGTTCCAGCTGATATAGCTGTAAATGACGTGATAATGTTTGGTCCCAGACGATTGGGCTTTGGCTGGCTTAACGGGTGGTTCAGAAGCAGCCGCAGGTCAAGCTTACCCCTGCAGTGGGCACAGACGAGTTGACCTTACAACACGAGTTGTCCTAACACATGTAACGTTTCCTGTGACGCAAACACCTTTTCACCTTTCTCTCTTTTTCGGTGCATTTCAGTTTGTTTTGGGTCTTTTTTTTTTTTTTTTTATATAATAGCTGCAGTGATGTGGAGCCAGGGTGTTCATTTTTTTGACTCTGATCTCTTCACCCCCACATACACTCTGAATCAGCAATATTTCTGTGTTTTCCTGTAAGCTCCCACCCTCCCCTACACACACACACACACTTGCACACGCCCTCCCCTACACACACACCGACCGTGGCCCTTATGCACCACTTTTTCCCGAATGCCGAGCAGGGATGACGCAGAGCACAGGATGGACGTTTGCTTTTGTCTCTTACTCATCGCTTTGAAGGGTCAGACAAAGTCCTTGTAGTCACTCTGGTTCTCTGGTAAGCCTCAAAACAATCTGCATGATCACACACTACAGTCACTCAGTTGAAAGAGAAGCAGCTTTTCTATCCCACAAGGCATATCACACTTGATTTATAGCTTGCGCCAGTGCTGCATTGTATATTGAAGAAAGAAATTCCTGAACTGTTATGACAAGGGCAATTTAACAGGTTTGGAAAAGCACCAAGTTTGTTTCATGCATCTGTGCACAACAGCACTGAGCACATTCACACAAGCGCTCATCCCTGATCAAACGGCATATTCATAAGAGCTTAAGACAAAGCGTCTTGTACACTGGGCGATAAATTACTGTGTTATATATATTTAAAAGTTGGTTGGGTTTTTTTTTTAAAATTGTTTTTAAATCTACAAATAAAATGTTTGCTAGTCACTCACTGCTCATGCAACATTAAATGTACCGCTTACATCAAACACAGTTTATTCACAGCAAGCTATACGCTGCAAATTGTGTCTTCTGAATGAAAAAAGGGTTTTTGGTAAAACTGAGATTTGTTGTGATTTATAACGAGGGGTTGATGATCTACTAAAAGTTTCCAGAAGCCTGATCACAGATTGGCTCTAATGACGTTTTTGTTTTAAAACTTGTAACTTTTATTGCATTTAACATATCAGCCATGCTACAGTGTTTTAGTCCAGGACGTTTTTGGAAGGTATTCCCTCACACTCGTTGCCAGATTTGGTCTCATCAGCCACAACATATTGCCAAAACATTATAACTAAGCTCACATAGCTTTGTGGTTCTGTTTTTCTCATGTGGGTAATCTTTTTTTTTTTTTTTTCCCCCATTGCCACGGCTTCCTTTTGTAATAGATTTTGCCATATTTTCTCCCATCTAATCGTCAGTCCAGGGAAAGATGTACCTTTATAGCCCTTATGCAACACTTGTTCCAAATCCCGAGCAGGAACGACGCACTTGTGTTCTTCCTCTCTGTATACAGCCATTTCATTTGGTGCACCTGCTCAACTGCCTGTCAGCCAATTACATGGCAGCATCTGTGTGTTTAGACATGCCGAAATGAAGTGGCTGAAGTTCTAACTGAGCATCAGAAAAGAAGAAAAGGGTGATTCAACCTCTTAAGCCCAAACGCCTAACCGATCTCCTGCCTTTTGCCCCTGTATCTGGGAGTGTTGGGGCTCAAGAGGTTAAGTGATTGTAAATGAGGCTGTTGGTGCCAGCTTGAAGCAGATGGGCTACAGCAGCAGAAGACCAGACCGAGGGCCACTCCTGTCAACAGGAAACTGTAGTTGCGGTTCACACAGGCTCACCAAAACAGAAACAAACAATTACCTGGTTTAATGAGTCCTGGTTTCTGCTGCAACATGACCAAACGACATGAATGCATGGTTCCATTCTGCCTTGTAACAATAGTTTAGGCTGCTTGTCCAGTGTCAGGGTGTGAGGTTTATTTTCTTGGCAAACTTTATTCTCGTACTACCAACTGAGCGTTCTTGTCACACCACAGTCTGAGTGCCTTTGCTGACCATGTCCATCCCTTTCCCGCTTCCACCATGACAACGCACCATGTGACAAACCCCATTTCAAACGTGTTGCTTGAACATAACGGTGAGCCTCCACAGTCGCCAGATCTCTATCTAAACGAGCGCCTTTGGCATGTGTTGCAACTGGAGATTTGCATCATGGATGTGCAGCTGACAAATCTGCAGCAGCTGTGTGATGCTGTCATGTCAACATGGAGCAAAATCTCTGAGGAAAGTTTCAGTAGAGAAAGTTGTTTTAGTAGAGACAGATTATTTATGACTCTGTTAAAATATTTGTCTTGACTTAATTTGTTTTCATTTTTAGAAGACCCAATAAAAACCCATCAGTGTGGATGTAACCACAATTTTCTTACTTGGAGACAAACACACTCAAACTATACCTTGTGCACAGATCCCTGAGAGTGGAACATGTAGTAAGCAATCAAATATGACTTAACTCTCCTTGCAAACACGATATACTCTTGCTGCCTCACTTACAGTTTCACCCTCAGCATGCTAGCCGTGCACCCTCTGGCAAACCAGGGTGAAGCAGCAAGACACCAGAGAATTACACGGGTTGGTTGCTTGATTCGCCCAGACAGCTCTGAGCGCGTAATGCTCTGCAATCTCTGCAGAGCATTACGCGCTCAGAGCCAATCTTCTAGGGTTGAAGGTGTTTCTTGAGAAATGTAAGCGTATGCTTTGATTAGATTTAAGAGATGATTTCTTGTTCTTGTCTCATTCATGTGACTGTTTTAGTTGACTGGTTGAAGGAGCTGGGTTTTGTTAGCTGGCCATAGATTCATCAATAATGATTGGCATAAAGGTAAAGGGGTATGTTTACCACTGTGTTGCATCACCTGCTGTTTTAGCAACACTATAGGAATGAGAAAGCTTGGTCTGTGTGGAGAGCAGCTGTTTTAGTTTTGAAAACAAAATGTTAAGCCATCGTCACTACAGGATATCTTTTGTTTTATTTTATTTTATTGCGCGGCACTTTTTCTGTACTGCATCTCAGATACAGTACTATTATGGATGGTGAGCTACTCTGACGGTTTGTGTCTTTCAATGGAGTGACACAGATGCTGATATGTAGTACTCTTTGCTTCCAGAAATGTTCCTGAGCCCATATCAGTTTAATGCACTGCCTGAGGGCCCAAAGGTCTCAGTCAGTACTTATTAAGCTTTCCAAATTCCTTCAATCTTTTATTTATTTATTTTGGTGATGTAGGCAATAAAATCTGCACACTTTGTGAAACATTGCTTTTAAATTGCTCCCGTCTTTACCTCTGAAGTACTCAGCCTCTCAAGGTTACCATTTTTTTTCAATAGCCAGTCAAGTAAAAACAATGTTAACTAATTAATATTTTTAAAATTATTTTCAAATCCTTCCGTTCTGATTTGAGTTATGTTTAAATGGCACACTTTGTCCTTTAACCTCCTAAGACCCGAACTCTTCCATGGCATGCATTTTTAATTTCTCTTTAATATTTGGGCTGATTGGGACCCGATGAATGTAAAAACAAAGAATCACCAGATTTTTTTTTTTTTTTTTTTTTTACCCGATTTTTGTTTCTAAGAAAAATAAGAGCCACATATGAGGATATTCGTTTTAAATTTGTATAAAACAGAGGCAGTATAATGTCCTCGTAGGTGGATATCAGGCACTTGGAGAGCAAAATTTAGTATTTTGGTCTAGACAACGCAAAATGGGATGTCCACATATGTGGACGCCGGGTCCTAGGAGGTTAATGTTGTTCTCTGTGCCTTATCTTGATTATAATGAGCACATGTTCCTGTAAAATACAGATATTCTTATATCTAAATAGCCGCTTCTGAGGGATTATTTAAGACGTATTCAGGGCTAGGTTGAACTGAAACACTAGCAGATGTTGTTATCTTGTTGATTTTTCTTTTTCTCCATTTGCTGTCTAATCCTTCCGTCAGTCAGCCTCTAATGTGCATTTTTGAATTCTTTAGGGTGTGGCCACTGCAAGAAAATGAAGCCAGAGTACGATGAAGCTGCTGAAATACTCAACAAGGGTGCAGATGTAAGTCTCTCGACCTTTCTTTGTTTGTTTACAGCATGCATATCTACAGGCCTGTGTGCTTCATATCTCAGACTCTACTGAGCACACACAGTCATGTGTCATTAGCAGATCATAATAATCCCTCTTTTTTTGGCTTTAAGGCTTTTGGCCATTGCAGCTTGACACGCTGGTCAGCCTGTCCAACAGCCCAGCTTTTGATGTGTTTCTGAATAGTGGGCCGTGTTACTCACCTCTCCTCTCCCCCCATTCTGTCCTCAGTGGTAATCTAACACTCCCCAGCCAGGGGCAGGGCCTATAAAACTGTAGCCTGGTGACTGTAGCAATTATCTCACCCGTGAACGTCCCCCCGGCCCGGCGCTTGGACCTTGTCCTTGTGGCTTTCTGCCCAGCACTGGAGGTCAATGGGAAAAGCCTGCACATTATCTAATTCGAATGGACGGGAGCCACTGTCACCCTGAGCTCTTTAGACCCAGCGTATCATTATTTCCCCCCCCCCTTGTTTTTCTGCTAATGTTACTGATGTTTCTAATGCAGTGCTTTTTTTATACACAGATGGCGTAATTGTTTTCCCAATGTAGCTGGTGTCATCAGATAGGCTAGACTGAGTGACCGTTTATGCTCTAATTGAAGAGATTAGTCTATAGATCTTATTTTACCAGTGCCCTGTCTGCTTTTGTAACGTCTGCAGAGTCCGGGTGTTTTGGCAGCAGTGGATGCCACGGTGCATAAGGCTGTGTCGGATCGCTTCAAGATCTCTGGTTTCCCAACGGTTAAGTACTTCGAGAAAGGTGAAGAGAAGTACACACTGCCACAGCTGCGAAACAAAGACAAGATCATCGAGTTCATGCACAAGTGAGTCTGACGCTTAACCGACAGCTTGATGGCTTCAAAAGTTGAGCAGTTAAGTGAAGCACTGATTGGCCGTAGCACCGGCTTTTCAAGACTTCCTCCCACTGTGAGAGAATAATCTTTGGAAAGGGTCAAAAAGTAATGGACTTGCAATGACATCAGTCCAGCTGTGGCATCTGCAGGCTCCATAAAGTCATAGTCTGCAATCACAGGTCAGCAGACATAATTTTATATCGGGCTGACACAAAGTGTGACTCAGTGTGAGTTCCATTATATCACCGGTAGTTATATAGTAAGCTTTTATTCATTTATTCCTTGGCCCACAAAATAAAGACAAAAAATCTTGGTAGAAACTGTATTTATGTTACCTTTACTACAGTAAATCTGAGGCAGTTTCCCCTTCCCTGGAGTGCACGTAATATTTTCACTTTATTTCATCCCCCCAGCCCACAGGCGCCTCCTCCACCGGAGCAGTCTTGGGAGGAGAAACCCTCCAGCGTCAGCCATCTTGGGTCGGAGGATTTCCGAGAGGCTCTGAAGAAGAAAAAGCACGCTCTGGTCATGTTCTACGCTCCCTGTAAGTGTCTTTAATATTAAAATCAACTCCTTTCAGCATCTGCGAACAAAATCAGAAGCAAGCTCTTACACAAACATCTGGAATGGCTCCTGAAAGCCTCATCTGTAACTGGCAGCTTTCGCAAGCTCTTGTATTTCATCTGCTCGGGCTGTTGTGATGAAAATATCAAACGTCTGTGAAGCTGTCGCAGCCGCGTGCGATCGCAGCTTCGTCCTCTTGAACTCGGTGCGATCGTAGCCTGGGCTTCAACCAGCGTGCATACGTAACTCTGAGCTTCTTGCCAAACCTCGTCATTGGGCAGTATATAAAAAAGCCACACCTAAGCCACAGGGAGACTGAGTCACATTACTAAAAGAAATATGAACAAATCACTTTTCCACCTTTTTATATTTTCAGCCCTGAGAAACAGACAAACAACAGATTAGTGACTGGACTTCCATGAAAGAAAATGCAGAAATCTCTGTTTTCGACATGCTTCATATGTGTCCTCATGCAAAACACAGGAGGAATACAGATTAGGAAGGCTAATTATCAATACACACAGACTCACACATGCACCTCTGTCCCTGTTAGGGAGGTTTTTTTGGCCCTTTTTCTGCCCTTTGTTTCTGATGAGGGCTTCAAAGCATGCGACAGGGCACAGCAGTCAGGCTGCTTCCTCTTCTGGGCCCTTTGGTGCTTCCCTCTACAAAGAGATGCTCCAGATGTACATCAGGCCGCGTCAACCTGCCGCCCTCCCAACTCGTCCGCCCCATCTGCACCTTGCTCGCTGGTGTCTTATTAGTGAAGGAGCTTGTGCTAATGGAGCATTTGATGAGATACAGCTGCTTTCTAAAACATCAAGGCTGGAAACGCTTCAGACAGAACAATCGATATAATTTTAGCAGAGGCTTGGGCTATTATCCTTTAGCCTCAAATCTGCATAATTGAACCCTAAACTAAAATTAAATGCTTGAACATCATCTTTGTCTCCTTTCGCATGCGTTCTGTGTTAAATTAAAGCATTTTCTGATTCACTGAATACCCATTTGTTGGCCCGCTGTATACTGTTGATCGGCCAGTTTGAGACATAACACTTTGGCGCGTTTAATGTTCTTTTTTTCTTTTTTTTTCCTTCCGTACTTTCCACGATTCATCGAACTAAGGGGAGATATTCAAATCCAGGCTGTTACAGCGCATCCACAGGGTGGTTACTTTGCATTCATCAACCCTCGATTTCACTCAGATTCACTCTGTCTGCGATGGTAATTATGAGAAAGATGAGTATAAATGTGCAGGTACAGTCAAGAAATGAGAACTGCAGGAATCATTATCAACTCAAAGTCATTTTTTACCTGTTTTTTGATGACCGAAGGTACAGTGCGTAAAATATAAAGGCTGAAAAATTCCTGTACTTGCCATGCAGAGCAAAACCCCGTTCCTTTCTTCAGTTTAACTGCTAATTTAAGGCAGTCTCTAAGCTGCACCAGGGAGCTGCCTGATCAGCCTCCTGTTTCCTTCTGTGAGGGAAAGACGCGGACAACGATTGTATTTTTGATACACCAGTTTCAAAATTGCGACAGGACATTTACAGGTTTAAAGGCCATTTAATGTTGCAGCTAAAAGGGTAATTCAGCAGGAAATGGGTTGTGAGCGGTGCTGAATGCTCTCTTAGGGAGACTGCTCTGAAAGGGTTGGCAAATGTGTACTTGCACAGTTGACATATAATCGAATTGGAGAGAGAGTTATGTGTGCGTGTGTGTGTGTGTGTGTGTGCGTGTGTGTGTGTGTGCGTGTGTGTGTGTGTCTATGATGCCTGTGGACATACGTAGTCAGATATGTCCACTTGCAGCATGTGAAAGAAATCTTAATAGTGCAGCTTATAGTGATATTTTATTTTCTTCTTCCCACTTGTGATGTCAGTTTGCCAAATAGATTTCCTTCTGCATTATGACAATAATCAAACTGTATATAAAGGATGGACTTGGCTTCTAGCTCTGAAAAGTGAAGCCATTGTGAAAGTGGAAATTGACTGGACTGAAAAAAGCAGCCGGCGAGTCTGGTTCATTGAAAGCAAAAGACAAAAACAAAATGATAGCTCAAGACTTTTGCACATTATTGTACTGTATATTTTTTCTAATCGTAAGCATGGGTACAAAAGAAGTCTGAGTTATAGAGAAGTCTGTAGAAAAATGAGCCTCGGGTTCATTTGATGAGTTCAAATAGTTTTGGGTGAGTTTAAAGTTCAAATTTAAGTCATTACTTTGAAATTGTATTTATTAAGAAAAATGTTTATTTTGTAAATTACACGCCTTAATAGAAGGGCTTTCCTAATGGCGCCTATGTCCATCTTTGAAATACAGTCTGTGACCTGAACACAAGTGACATCCATGGGGGGGAAAAGGCCTTTGCTGCTTTTGTCTAAAAGAGCTTCTTATCCCTGTCCAGCACCTTTGAAAAGAAATGGAACACCATCGGGCCTTGTTACCTAAAATCCTTCTCTGGCCTCTAGTTTTGTGGCCAAATTGGAGAAACATCCCCTGCAGCCATATTTGCAAATATTTGTAATGAAAAGCCTGAAACCAGAAAACTGTTGCAGCAAAAGATTCATGGCCTTGGGGGAAAGCATGTTCAAGCAGGTTCTCCCATCATTTTTCAGTGACTGAAAATCCATTTATTGAGTTAGATGACTCAGATGTTTAGCTAACCGTAACATCTCCTGATCATTCAGCCGGGTGTAGGGACTGTATCCGCAGTTGGCCGACAACTCATGTCCCAAACGTACCATCAGAATTTGCTCTGGAGAGTCGATTGGACAACTGCCACAGCCTTATGTAGACCTTCAAAAAGTAACAAATTCTTTTAAGCATATTGTTCATTATGCTTCAGGGTTTAATTAGCTTTTAACCCTAACTCGGCACATGAAAGTGTCTAGCTAGTCACCCACTGCCAAGCTGCTTTCTTCTTCAGGGGCAATTTATTTGTCACCACAAGGGGTATCCTTGCCTTTTCTTATTTCCAAAAGGGGCAAAGGGTTGTTTTTAATTAACAGAAGAAGGACTGCATACTTGACATTATCAACAAGATTAAAGCAAATGAGCAGGTCTAAGAAAACGTCACATTTCAGCAGAAACTGAGAAGAAAAGTTGTCAGAACAGCAAACAGTCTCCCAGTACAAAAAGTCATCACTCTTTTATTAATGCACTGCAGCTAGAGTTGGAAAGGCTTCCTCCTCCTGGTCAGCTCTGTGGACAGTTAATCATCCTGCCTCCACCTACAGAAAATAAAAGAGCTGTCTATAAATGTGCTCTGTAGGTATTGGCATACTGTATATGGAGTGCTGTTGGAGTACAGAGTCGGGGAGGTAGCGTTTATGATGCCAATAAATAGATCTACAGTCTCTCATAATATAAAAGTGACCTTGTTAGTAACCGGCAGTATATACTTGCATGTGTTCTGTGTCGTCTTTCGGTATAATCCTCCGTTTAGGGCATGAAGCTCAGTTTTGCGGTGCAAATGTATGATGATAATAGATATAGTTGTGATAACAGCCCATCTGCTTGTTCTTTTCCAGGGTGTCCACACTGTAAAAACGCTGTCCCCCACTTCACCACCGCAGCAGAGCTCTTCAAAGAGGATCGCAAGGTTCGTGTTGCTTTTTCACATACTCACTTAGATATGTGATTACTGGCTCTGATGGCGGCGCAAAGATGCCTCTAACTGGAGCTGTGCTTACAGTAAACATCACGGTTTTAGGTAATCGGCTCACAGTTAGAAGATCGGTATTGATTTGAATAAATATTGATCTGAAACCTTTCCGCGCAGTGTTCAGGCTAAAGTTAAAAAAGACAAATAAAACAAATTCTAGCTGCTTTTTTATCTTGTTGTTTTGCTGTATCGTGTCTTTCACAACAAATAAAATAGTTATTTTAAAAGTAATGGAACAAAAGACGCAGATTTAGACCAACAAGGGACCTGATGTTGCAGAAACAAAATATTACAAATGACATAACGTATTTCCACCGTGGTCTTGACAGGCCGTAATCCTGTGTGTCTGCTTTATTACAGTCTTTCGTGACAGGCTGTAGTCATTACTAGATCTAATTTCTTCCAGGTTCTATTCAGTTACACTCAGGCTCAAAGCTTATCACTGTGAAATTATTAAGATCTTGTTTGTTTGCTTGTATTTTCCATCTTTGGGTTAGAAATGATTTCTTTCTTTCTTTCATTTAGTGTGTTTGTGTTAAGCGTTCCCTGGACATACACAATATATCCACTCACCAGCCACTCCATTAGGTACACCTGCTCAGCTGCTCATTAATGCAAATATTTAATCACCAAATGTAAAACAAGCGTCAGAGAGGAGAAAGAGGGTTATTTAGGTGACTCTGAATGTGGCATGGTTGTTGGTGTCAGATAAGCTGGTTGAACCTTGAAGCAGATGGGATATTTTCCTTGCAAACCTTTGGCCACATAGTACCAGATGCCACAGCCTGCCTGAGTGTTGTTGCTGATCATATCTATCTGTCTATGTGCACAGTGCACGCATTTTCTGAAATCTCAAATCATCTGAAATCAGTTACTTGAACATGATAATGAAACCTGATCCCACCTGGCTCTAGAACGGTGTGCCTACTAAAGTGTCTGTTAAGTATTATCGGGAGGGGAGGGGGGAATATGTCACATTTTGGGAATTCTTTTCCAAAGTGGACCACATAAGTTGCACTTTAAAGATCTGAATATGTTTGAAATGTTCAGACATCCTCATGATTCACATTAATTTATCCTCTGTAGTCTTCACAGATGCTTTTTTTTTTTTTGTATTTTCTTACAGCTTGAAAGGTGTTAGTTATAAAAACAAAAGAACGAGCATTTGCAGAGTAAATGCATTTGCATATTTTATGCAAAGTTATCAGAAAGTCTTTCGATTGTCGTTAACTTGAGAATTCACATCTTTAAAATGGTAAATGGCCTGTATTTGAATAGCGTTTTTACTAGTCCCTAAGGACCCCAAAGCGCTAAAAGTCCTCTCGCCCCATTCCTAATAATTGTTTTCATGTCTCACACAGGAATAACTGGTAATTGGCTTCCACCTATAGAAGGCTTTTGACCTTAGTTGGTTTTTACATAGTGTTTGACAAGCGCACTCACAACAGTAGCAGAGGAGCTGTGACTTAGGGTTCAGTGTCTCCACTCCACTCCAGTCCACTCCAGTTTGACCATTTAGATGAAGCACCACACTGTTGCATCAAATTTTCTGCAGGCTTGGGGTTTGGAGGTTAATGGAGGTTCATGTAGTGGCAACAGGACACACTCACGCTCATCCTCCATCATCCCCACTCCCTCTCGTTACTTACCCTCAGGGACTCATGTCCTGACACCCTCCCACTCTTGCTCATTTCTGTTAATACCCTCTGACTGCAGGGCTTAAGCCACAACTGTGTGACTCACTCTCTTGCTCTCTCTCCCTTTCAAACATGCAGGAATTTTGGACACGTGTCAGGCAGCGCTCGAAGCTAAAGTATCAGATTGAAGTGACAAAAAAACCCCCATCTAATTGCTGCCTTATCATTTGTGAAGTCTCATCAAAATGCTTAATGCTGAATAGCTGTTGTTCCAGTATTTCTCGGACCGTGTTGCTGTCTCAGTTGTTTGGAATTTTTCTAAATCAATGTCAGATGGTGTCCTCAGCAACTTAGCCATCTATTTTTCTGAGGCAATTCTTTGTAACATTTCTCAATAACATTAATCTTCAACAGATGAAAATGAAAATGCTTTAAACCTTTTTTTTTTCCTTGGGAAATTTGGATATCAGCTGCAACTGTAACACATCATTTCATTTATTCATTTCTGCAGAAACTCACACTCGCTTCCTTCATTTCTAAATACTGAAGTAGATCTGTGCATTTATAAATAACCATAATTTCAGTCAGATCGAATGGTCAATGCCCGACAAGCCAAAATAATAGAGCTGAATATTTAAAAAGAGGTTTGTGTGGTTTTAAAAGTTGATGGATTTAACCCTTAAAAATGTATATTTAAATTTAGCCATAAATCTGTTTAAATTACCGTATTTCCCGGACTACAGAGCGCACCTAAATATTAGCCACACAAGCTAAAATCAGGGGAAAATCCTGTTTTGTACATACATTAGCCGCACCTGACCAAAAGCCGCAGGTGTTTCAATGTTGACTTATCATATGTAAGAGAATATGCACAAAGGGAATTGTCAGGAAAGAGATGGCTGTTTGGAGACACACCCCTTTTATTAATATTTTGAAAAACAAGTTATGGGTACATATTTGCATAACTTTTTAGGTATATGTACAAGTAGCGGTAATTACAAGTACGAAACATGTACTGTGCTTCATAAATGAGTAACAAATGTAGTACATAACAATAACCTGCAGCACACCAGAAAAATAGATTCGGACTACCTTTTAGGCTCAGGTGCAGTGACACAGCTTTAACAAGAAGAAAAGTCAGTCATTCACCACCATCTTCCTGCGCACTAAAACCACCAAAGTCCTCTTCTCCAGTGTCGGATACAAACAGGCTCAGGGTGGCTTCGTCATCCACTCTCAGCTTCTTTCCTTCGTTGTCACTTACAAAACCAAACAAATCCTCGTTGTCAGTGTCAGAGTTGAACACCCTCCGAAGGGCCGTGGCGGTGTCCTCCTCTCCATCATGCAGCAGTCCAGCCCTTCGAAATCCGTTGGTGATCATGGATGTTTTCACACTTTTCCACACTGTCAGATTCCACCGGTGGAGTTGAGCATAACTTGCTTTTCGCAAGTTTATCGCCGCTCGTCATCCACGACTCCCGCTGAACGCGTAGCGTTAATTTGAAGTTTGTTTTTCGCGCTACTTTTACGGCACTATGTTGCCTGGCGGATGGACACGTGACCAACATAGCACTCTTGAACCCAGATACTGTGTGTCTGATCACATGCCCTTCCGCCAGGCAACGTAGTGCCGTACAACAGCGGAACAAACAAAACAAATCGTCTTACGATATGACAAAAATCATGGACAATCCATAGAAAAGCCGCACCTGACTAAAAGCCGCAGGGTTCAAAGCTTGTGCAAAAAGTAGCGGCTTATAGCCCGACAATTACGGTAATCTTTTCTTGCACTTCCGCTGCTTTTAGTAATTGAGTTTATTTTTTTTGAAAAAAGGATCATGTATAATAACATAAATGTTACCATTTGATGCATTGTATCAGAGTTAGCTAGAAGCTCATTTACATCTGCAGTTGCTTGGCAGATTACATGCAGAAGGTTTTCTGCTTCTTTAGCCCAACTGCTTCGAGGTCTGCTGCTGTTTTCAGATCCCTCACTTTAAGACTCTTGCATTTACTTTTCAATTCCAGTAACTTTTTGTTTGCACCTTGTAAGATTTTATCTTGTAAGGTAACAACGATTCTTAAATTTTCCATCAAGAAACACATAACATTGATAACCTGACCACATACTACAATATTTACTTTATATTTTAAGCAAGACTTTCGCAACAGCCAGAAATGTACTATGAGACTCAGTATTTGGGACCACAACCTTAAAGCAGATCCTTCACGCTTTCTTATTTTCTGTCATATACACTCACCAGCCACCTCACTAGACTGACCTGTTAAACTGCTTGTTAATGTAAATCTCTAAAGACATGGAGACACAACAACCTGCTGAAGTTCAAATCAGAATCTCCACAGAAAGGTGATTTAAATAACTCTGAACATGACCCACCATGTGTGGCACCAACACAGTAACTTAAAAAACGTCTTGTTGAGACCAAGGCCAAAGTTTTTTGTAGGCTAGAGCAGCAGAAGACCACACCAAGTACCACTGTCAGCTAAAAACAGGAAACAAAGGCTACAATTCGGCAGTAGAAGACTGGATAAAAGTTGTTTGGTGTGATGAGTCTGTTTCTGCTGCACCATTCAGATGGTTTGAATTTGAAAGCATCAGTCCTCTCTGCCTTGCATCAACAGTTCAGGCTGCTGCTGGTGGTGCAACGATGTAACAGTGTGGTGGATAGCTTCTTGTCCATTTGGGGACCCTGAATATGAATTTACCACTGTCTCTGACCATGTCCATCCCCTATGACCACAGTGAAACCATCTCCTGATTGCTGCTTCCAGCAGGACAATGCTCCATGTTATAAAGCTCAAGTCATCTCAAACTGGTTTTGCGAACTGACATTGAGTTCGTTGTCGTCAAATGGCCTCCACAGTCACCAGATCCAATCTTCCAATAGAGCACCTTTGGAATGTGCTGGAATGTTGTTGATTCCAGAGGGCAGAGAAGAATGGCCAGACTTCATCAAGCTGAGGTGAAGGCAATAGAAATTTGAATAACTACTCATTACAATCAAGTTATGCACAAGATACGCTGGTTCTAACCTTGTTAAAGTTCAAAGTAGATGGCCTACAACACCAAGTTCCACTCCCGTTAGCTAAGATCAGGAAACTGAGGCTAAAGATTGCACAGGCTCACTAAAATTTGACAACAGAAGATTGGAAAAATAGAGGGAGGAAAAAAAGGCATCATGTCAAAGCTCAGAGCATTTCAAACTGGTTTCTTGACCATGACAATGAATTCACTGTCCTGAAATGGCTTCCACAATCACCAGATCCCAATCCAATCGA